TCACGGCTTCAAGTTTAGCGCGAAAGGCAACGTGAATGGCAAGAACTACTGCAGTACCCGTAGTTCTTGTCATTCAAGGCTCTCTGTCAGCCGTTATATGTACAGTAACTGTTTATGAGTGTTCTATCCGTTCAGTCATACCTCATACTGTCCTAGAAGAGATGCGAACCAGGATGCTTTAGTGATCCCAGGCTGCTAACTTTTCAACCCTGTTTTTGCATTTGAGAATGCGAGAGCTTCCTTTATGAGTAGGTCCTCCCCCCTCATTTTGACCAGATCCGATTTTGCAGAGACTATGGATGCTGATCCCGACTACAAGTCTCTCCTAGCGAAACTTGAAAGGGAACATCGCATCAAAATTAATGATTTTCTCGGTTAGTATAGCTCCAACTGATGATTTTTTAATAGATTTACTACGTTTACTACCTGTTAGTATAAACAGTGGCTGCTTTCATTGTCCGCCAATGGTTTTTGATCTTGCCTCTCTTTGTTTACAGCCCTTAGAATTGGTTGACCGACCGTCTGCCTCCCTGCTAACCCTTAGCACTGCCTCGGTACTCGCCGGTACGCCGGCACGCACGCCGACGGACTAGGAAAGCAGCCAGTCTGCTGCCTCTTACTACTCGAGCAGGTCAGCAGGTGAAGTGTCAAAGTAGAGCCTCATGAGGAGAACTCTAAAGCAGGCAAATTCGAATGTCTCTGACAAAGAGGATTAGGCTAAAAATGAGAGTCTGTCTAGCTGATAAGAATGACTGCTTTTATCATCAGGACACTGTTTCTGTTTACTGGAAAGGTCATTGAGACTAGACAGAACGAGTCAGAATCTATTTAGGGAAAGGTTCTTATTCACAAGTAATGAAAGGAGTTATCGACAACAAACTAAACACAGCCGTTAAAATTGTCGATACAAGGTAAGACTTCATCCCAAATGCTTCCAAGCAAGCCACCAATGGCATGAATAGCCTTATTTGGCTGGTTCTATTGTGTTAGTCCAGTAGGTAGAATGAGCTGACAGAAGGACATGGCACTTCAGACGAAAATGATCATGACCGATGGAGCGTTAAAGGCACAGTTCACGTTGATTCTGGGTAGTCCAGATTATGAACAAAATGGAAGGCAAGATGGAAATAGTGCGAAGGAACTGCGTTAATGGATGTTTCCAAAGTGAAAAAGGCTCTAAAAAATCGTTAAAAGTGGGCTGGACGAGAATGAAACCAGAAAAATGAAGAAAAATGGGGCGTTTGGACGAGCCGTGCCATTGCGTACGTGTGGGTCCTGGTGCGAATGGCTGACTACGGTCAGCAAAGAGTCATTCATCATAAGCATAATCCCACTATGCCTTAGACGTTGAGTTTTGGGATTCGACAGCGCCTTCCTGTTACCCTTAAGGGCCACTGGATATTCCTAGTGGGAGAACAGTAATCGTTTTTATCATGAACTGTGCCTTTAATGTGTATAGGCAAGTACAGACCAATAAATGCCAAAATTTCACATTTCAGAGTACCGTCAGAATATGTTCGAAAATTTTTACCAAGAGAAGTGGCATTGGTACAGAATTTAAAACATGATTGCATTGTTCGAGTATATCAGGTGCCAACTACAAGTTGACTTTGTTGCTAAACAGTTGCATTATATGCCTCGGGAGCCCCGAAACAATCGTGAATCTGAAAGCCTACGAGCTCAAACACGATTGCTCATCAAATTCGAGAACTTCCTCAGCAGAAAGTGCCCGAGAAAATTCTAAACGCGTGGGTATTTCGAAACTGAAGTCGATCGATCTATCCAAAAAGAGAAAGCCCTGTTCTATGTACTCGTTAAGCTTGAAACAGTAAAGAGAACCTCAATTCTTACGCCACAAACGGCTGATTAGTAATTGAAAGAATGGGCAAAAATCTAAGTTCGACTCAGACCTATTCACATGTCGTCCGTAAACAACAACTAGTAAGAGTTCCCTAGAAGTCTGAGCTTTTTGCCCATAACTTGACACCTTTGGGGAACAAGAAGGCGTCAATTCAGATGGTATCGAGTAAGTCGATTCAAGACAGTGGATGGAAAATTCCACTTCTTACGACTTCAGCATAGTTGATTTGAAGCTGGAGTGACAAGCGCGAAATTCGGGTGTGGCGCAGAAGGATCGAAATTGCCGCGCCGCGGCGAGAGATGCCGTGCGCGAAGGAATGTAACAGGATGCAGCAGCAACTAAGAACAACAGGAATAAACGAACGAACGTGAGGATCATGCCAAAAATATAATCGCATATCGGTTGAGCTGCATGAAGAACCCTATAACTGTAATAACGAGGCAAACGAGGCCCGCGACTGCCGCGCGCGGCGAATCACCTACATGGAAACGATTCTACTGCCCGTCCCCCGCGAAATTCGCTTCAATATTACCCATAGATGCACAAAAATAAGCAGTTTCCTGGGAGATTTCCTCAAAATAGTGCTTTTGGTGAATGGGGCTTTTGGTGGAATAAACACTGACCAAGAAATGCCAAAGTTCTCCCCCCTCTTGTTGGGAACATGAACCTGTTTGCCGCAAAGGGGCGCAACTTCCACATGCATTCCACTGGTGCATCCATTGGTTCGTCTCGACTTTAAAAAAAATGCAAAGTGCAAATTTTTGTTGCCAGGAGTTGGGCCACGAAGGATTGTTTCCTATCCGAAATCTAATTACAACAGATTGCAGCGTGAAGCACCCAAAGAAATGGAGCATTTTTTAGATCTTCGAAATCACTCACTATACAATATTTGTAACGGAGTATTGTGATGGCGGTGATTTATTACGGAAAATAAAGAAATGTAAGAGGGTTCCGGAGCCAGAGGCCAAGCAAATTTTTCGACAACTTGTCGAAGCACTCATGGTTAGTTCGTTCAATGTTTGCATCCTGATTTCTCAATAGAATAGGCGAACTTATAACTAGCAGGCCTTGATTCTAGTGATGGAGCTGGTTTTATGGGAATTAATTTCGAATCAGCCGTTTCAGTACCTACAAAACTGCGACATCGTTCACCGCGATTTAAAATGTGAAAATGTGCTTCTCGATCGGAATGAGAACGTGAAGTTAGGCGACTTTGGCTTTGCTCGATATCTGAAGCCAAATCAAAAGTCTAGCACCTTTTGTGGCAGCAGGGC